AGACTGAAACCCTGGGGTCTTCAGAGAGTAGAGAAGGCTGCTTACCCCTCTGTCCTGTTCTAGAAGCCCCTGCAGCCTCACACCACACATTCCACTGTTGCTGCCATGTAAACTGATCTATCGGTACAGTTCTACAGAATATGGAGTTCATGATGCAGCTGCAGAACACCTCCAAATTCTATAATACTAACATCATATAATGTAGAAGCCAACTAAGCTCAATAAACAAAAACCATAACATAGAAGGTTTAACTAGCAACAAACAGCTTTGTAAACCCTCAGACAAGGACTTAATGACTGCATAATGAGATATAATAATTTTCACAAATTACATTTTACTATTTTTTTATAATTCAATTGTTTTTTATAATTCCATTAGCCATTTAATAGTTATAACAAGCAATTAAATATTTTTGTGTCTGCTAAGAGGAAGGCCTAGGGGGTGGTTGGGAAAATGGGAACAATGAATGAGGGAAGGCCACCCAGCTGGTAGCATCGATGTTGGATTTGCCAATTGTTTTGGGGCCATATCTGGTGAAACTCAGATGTTATTTCTGACTCTGCACTTAACAATCTGCACTGAATATTCATAACAACTCTACTTAGAAAAACCTTATAAACCATGGTGTTTAAATAAAGTAATTTTTCTGAAAAAGCAGTAAAATACATTCCCAGATAAGTAAAAACATATCATATAACAAATAATAAAGTTGTTCAAACTGAAACAATCTGACAGAAATATTAATTCAAATCCTCATTGAAATCAAAACCTCAAATCAAATACTAACCAGAATTCAGAATAACGTGAAAAAACTTAATTTAATTTTATTTTCCTATACTCTGTTCATGAAGTATTTGCAAATTAAAACTTAATATGGAAAAAAACAAAAAATTATGTGATATTTTTTCTCTAAGACTTAAGTAGCCTCGGTTCCAAAGTAGCATGAGTACTGAGAAGAAAGTGATAGAACCCTTGGAGAGCAAAGTGAAACCAGGGGCTGTGTGGTATATTACAGTCAGTAACTCTGAAAACCATGACAGGGACTCAGAGGGGAAACATAAGCAAACGGATCCAAAGGAAATCAGTAAAAATGAAGAGCTGTTTGGAAACCATGATTGAGCTGGGATATGTACAATAAACAGCTTCTTAATGTTCGGGGGGGAAAAAGGAGACATCCCTGTTGTTTGAGTTGCAGTACTGTTTTTGGTTTGTTTTGGTAGTTCTAGGGATCAAACCCAGAAGCTCACGCAAGGAAGGCAAGCAGTCTTCCACTGAGCCAAAATCCGGCCCCAAATTTGCTAATTCTTTTGGGACCACATCTGGTGAAACTCAAATGTTATTTCTGACTCTGCACTTAGTAATCACTCCTGGTACTGTTTAGGGGACCTAATGGGATGCCAGAGACCAAAACCTGGACAGCTGCATGCAAGGCAAGCACCATACCTGCTATACAATTACTCTGGCCCACTATTTTGTTAGTTCGATTGTTGTGTAGAGTTCTGTCACATTAAAATACTACATAGAACATACCTGTTTCTATCTTCATCCATTCTCTTTCTAGTGCTGGACTATTTTAATATATATTCATTTCATCCTTGATCAAAGTAGACTGTAAGAAAATTTGGTTTATCAACTACAAGAAACTAAGCACTAATGAATTCAATGACCTACATTGCAATAGAAAGCTTAAACTTGCTAAGAAAAATGTTCAAGGGGGTATGGTGCTGCCAGCAGGTCAATCTGTACCTGTGCAGCGAGTGCATCAGCAGCCTGATGGCGCCTTCAGACTTCCAGGTACCTCAAAATTGCTGCTGTGCCTTTGGCCAGAACCCAAAAACTTGGGGCAAAGTATACCAAGAAAGTAAACGACCAAAAGTTAGGTATGTGGGAGACACACCCACAAACCACTTCAGCTCAGCTATACAATTGCAGGCATGGCTTAGATCTATGGTTCCTGATCGAACTGCTTAATGGCCATTATCCCAGAGACTCAGAAACAAATCTTGAAACTCAATGACTTTTGTTAGAAATGCGTCCAGTCCCTGCAGTAGGTTACAAGCGTCTGGCCACCCTAGGTGGGAATAGGTTTTGTGCTTTGGCCTGTTCCCCCTGGCGGCCCAGTAGCTGTCATCCTCCAGAGGCCACTGAACAGTCACATTTGGGCCTGCATTGACGAGACACGTGGGGCTTCATGGGATGGGGGTGGAGCCGGCCCTTTCCTCCCCGTCCCAACGAGACCCCGAGTTGCCACCCATGAATTGCCTTTCTGGCTCCTGATCAAGCTGCTTAACAGCCATGATCCCAGAGACTCAGAAACAAATATCGGAACTCATTGACTTTTAAATGATCCGGACTGTGCATTAGGTTACTGTCTCCAGGCCACCCTAAGGGAGAAAGGGTATTGTCCCACTGCTGGTTCCCCCTTGGCGGCTTAGTGGCTGCCATCTGCCAGAGTCCATTGGACAGTCAGGTTTGGGCCCGCAGTGACGAGACATGTGGGGCCTCACCAGATGGTGGGTGGAGCCGGCCCTTTCCTCCCCATCCCAATGAGACCCCGAGTCACTGCCCATGAACGTCCTCTCTGGCTCCTGATCAAGCGTTTAATGGCCATGATCTCAGAGACTCAGAAACAAATCTTGAAACCCAGTGGCTTTTGGCAGAAATGTATCTGGTCCCTGCAGTAGGTTACCGGCGCTTGGCCAACCCAGGTGGGAATAGGTTTCGTGTCTTGGCCTGGCAGCCCGGTGGCTCCCATCCTCCAGAGACCACTGGACAATCAGGTTTGGGCCTGCAATGATGAGACACACAAGGCTCATGGAATGGGGGTGGAGCCAGCCCTTTCCTCTCCACCCCAATGAGACCCCGAGTCACTGCCCATGAACGGCCTCTGTGGCTCCTGATCAAGCTGCTTAACAGCCATAATCCCAGAGACTCAGAATCAAATCTCGGAACCCAGCAGGTTTTGGCAGAAATCCCTCCAGATTTAAGTGTTAAAATTTCGGAATTTCAAAATTGTGTGGCCACTATTGCAGGCACGCAACATCATATGTTATTCATAACCAGCAATAGAAAACAAATTGTCTACTGTTTCCTTTTCCGCAGATCTGAGTTTCGGGATAAAATCCCAAATAATAATGATGGGTCTGGTGTCAAATTATTGAATGTAATCAAAATAGAGAGTAATGTGTAAATCATCTGCCGCACAGGTAGGGGGAGGGTGGGGGGTGGGAGTATACTGGGGTTTTTGGTGGTGGAGAATGGGCACTGGGTATTTCATTATATGACTGAGACTTAAACCCGAAAGCTTTGTAACTGCTCTCATGGTGATTCAATAAATAAAATTATAAAAAAAGAAAAAAATGTTCACTATGACTTTTATGACTTTTATGTACAATGCAAATTATGTAACAAATTTATGCTCAGGTTTTCTTGTATTAAAAAAATTCAAATTTAAGACTCACCTTTAATCTCTGAATTAACACACAGCTGTATCATATTTTAGTTTTATTGTTAATCTTCCAACTCTGTTTAAAAAACATGTTTTACAACCACCAATATTGAAGAGGATGTAAGGAAAAAGGAACCCTCATTCACTGCTGCTGGGAATTTGACTGGTCCAGCCTTTTTGGAAGACAATATGGACACTGCTCAAAAAATTAGGAAGTGAGCTTCCATATGACCCAGCAATTCCATTCCTGAGAATATACTCCAAGGGCCCAAAAGTACAATCAGAAAAGAATTCTGCACTCCTATGTTCGCTGCAGCATCATATACTTAATCACTTAGCTTCCCGTTAGTCGTCGATTTGCTCGAGCGGGCGCCAGTAACGTCTCCATTTGTCCCTGTCGCAGCATCTTGCCTCTCGGAGCCCCCGCCCCTTGCTTCTCGGCGCCCCCTCGATGCTCTTAGCTGAGTGTCCCACGGGGCCTGAAGCATTTACGTTGAAAAAATTAGAGTGTTCAAAGCAGGCCTGAGCTGCCTGGATACCGCAGCTAGGAATAATGGAACAGGACCGCTGTTCTATTTTGTTGGTTTTCGGAACTGAGGCCATGATTAAGAGGGACGGCCGGGGACATTCGTATTGTGCCGCTAGAGGTGAAATTTTTGGACCGGTGCAAGACGGACCAGAGCGAAAGCATTTGCCAAGAATGTTTTCATTAATCAAGAACGAAAGTCGGAGGTTCGAAGATGATCAGCATCATATACAATAGCCAGAATATGGAAACAACACAAATGCCCATGCATATATGACTGAGTAAAGAAACTATGGTACAAAGGACTACTATACAGTCTGAGGAAAAGATAAACTCATGCAATTTGCTGCAATGTGGATGGATCTGGAGAGTATCAAGTTGAGTGAAATGCGCCAGAGGGAGAGGAGCAGACTCAGAATGATCTCTCGCATATGTGGGGTATATAAAGACACTTTGTAGGGGAATACCAAATACCTAATGGCAATAGAAATGATAAGCAGCAAACTAGGAAACTAGTCTTTAATACGAAGCTTGATACTGGGGCAGGAATGAGGGGAATAAGTTAGGGAAGGGAACACTAGGACAATGGGAAGGGAAAAGAAAAGGGTGAGAGGAAAACTGGGGATATTGGTAGAGGGATTGTTGCTGGAACAATATATGCCTGAAATGCAATCATAAATATCTTCGTAACTTTGTAATTCATGGTGATTCAATTAAAAAATTAGAATAAAAAAAACTTAAAAAAATGTTTTAGGTCTCTGAAGGATTTTCAATATGCTATATAGATTACTGTAATTCCCTGAAGCTGTGCAGTAGAGTAGGTCAAGGAACAAATATGCTATTTAAAATTTATCTAGAACTGCTTGTCTTGCACACAGCCGACCTGGGTTCATCCCATATGGTTCCCTGAGCCCCACCAGGAGTAATTCCTGTCCACAGATCCAGGAGTAACCCCCTAAGCATTGCCAGATGTGACCCAAAAACCAGAAAGTAATTTTTTAAAAATTAAATTAAATTAAATTTACCTGGGACTTAGTCATTTCCTCTTCCTTCTGGGAATGCACAGGACCTGTGAAGGTAAAGCTGGGGAAAAGAATAAAACCATTAGACAGATTTCCTTTGTGGGTTCAGAAACCTTTGCCTACAAAGTAAAGATCGCCCTGTAACAAAATTTAGGAGGATCAATCAGAAAGGCCAATAATATTCATTCCAGAGATAGGTATAAGGATAACTTGTATGATCATGTGAGCTTCATTTGATAGATAAACTGTGAACCTTATGTGGAATTCCTTATGAGAGTGTGTAAAATAAAATTTTTATTGAGAGAAATATGAAAGAGAGGAGAAAAAAAATGGGGGAAAAGAAGAGATAAAGTGTGTATGTCTGTGTGTGTCTGATGGGGGGGGGGGGTGTTGACTAGGAGAGAACACAGGCTTCTCCTAATGGAGAAAAAAAGCATACAGTACATGTCAGACGAGATTAGGGTAAATCTCCAGATAAAGTCCCATTTAATAAAAGAAAGAAAGTAACTGAGCATCTCAGGTTGAGATATGGGTAAACCTCAAGACAGAGAATGCATCCCATATGGTATCCTTTACATGTAAATTCCTTTGATCAAGCTGCTTTCAGGATTCTATCTTTGGCTTTTGTCAATTTTATTACAATGTGTTGTAGAGTTCTTCTACTCAAGTTTACCCTGTTTGGAATTCTCTGATCTGTGGTGTGAATCAAACCTTAGATTGGGGAAGTTCTCAGCTATAAATTCTTTGACCAATAGTTTATCTTCTCTTCTTCCCTTAGGGACTCCTATAATTTGGATATTGTTCCAGCAAAAGGATCAAATTCATACAGAAGGCCATTCAACTCTGCTCTATAGCCAGTTGGACAGAAGCTCAGTGTTTAAATCTGGACTGTGACTGTTGTCTGAAATGAGGGTGGGGAGCAGTGTTAATATGATTTTATATGCAAGCAATATCTACATTGAGTTGAACTGTTAAGACATCTACCTGGTGTCAGAATTGTTTTGTGGGTGAAAAATCAAACCCAACAATGACAACAAAAGGAAATATATTTTAAGTGGTGACCAGAATCTTAAAATACTAGAGAAATTAAAAACTAAGCAAAAATATTTGGAGAAATACTTTAAAAATAGAATTTTAGACTAGATGACTCCATTCATAACAAATGTCATTTCCTCTTTTTTGCAAAGAGCTTAACGTGAAGTAAACTGATCTATTTAATTTATAATGAGTATATAACTTCCTCCTAAAAAGAACTCTCATACAGTTAACTCTCGAAGAGTTAACGTTCATACCTAACAACTTGGCCATTATCACCATTATCATCATCTGCTTTCCTAAACTCAAATTTTGTCAATAAACAAAGCCAAATCTCTGAGTGTTTAAGCCATATTTCCCAGAAAAATTCTCTAGATAACTGGAGTTAACTTACACATTGGGAAATTGGCTCCACAGTGGGGAAAAGCATATTTTCCCCACTACCTTCTAGTGTTCTACTGCCACGTATTCTCAGATTCCAGATCATTTCACACTACTTGCAAGTATGTGTTTAAAGGGTAGAATGGACCATATATGACAACACGGTTTAAAACAACAACAAAAGGGGCTGGAGCAGTAGCACAACGGGTAGGGCATTTGCCTTGCACGCGGTCAAACCAGGTTCGAATCCCAGCATCCCATATAGTCCCCTGAGCACTGCCAGGAGTAATTCCTGAGGGCAGAGCCAGGAGTAACCCCTGAGCATCGCCGGGTGTGACCCCCCCAAAAAATAATTAAAAAAATAAAAAACAAAAAATCCCACAGCATTTGCTCCCTTAAAAGTAACAGCCTATCATTTTTCCCTACCCAGAAATTATCTCCTGATTGATAATCAGCTCCACTTTCTACTTGTTCACTATCTTTTCTGTCCTTAAAAGTGCCATATTAGGGGGCTGGAGTGATAGCACAGCGGGTAGAGTGTTTGCCTTGCACGCGGCTAACCTGGGTTTGATTCCCAGCATCCCATATGATCTCCCGAGCACCGTCAGGAGTAATTCCTGAGTGCAAGAGCAAGGAGTAACCCTTGTGCATCGCTGGGTATGACCCTAGAAGCAAAAAAAAAAAAAAAAAAAAGAAGTCAAATTAGGGGGTCAGCGCAATAGTACAGCAGGCAGTGCACTTGACTTGTACACAGTCAACTATATTCTTTGATTTGTTTTTGGGCCACATCTGGATTTGCTTTAGGGCTTGCTCCTGGCCTTGTGCTTAGGGATCATTCCTGGTGGGCTCAGGAGACCATGTGGAGTGTCAGGGATTAAATCTGGGCCAGCCACATATAGGCCAATGCCCTACCCACTGTACTATCTCTCTATTCCCTAGTTATTTTAAGCACAATACTGAGTTTGTACCTATAGGGTTGTGCCTTAAGGACCAAATTATAAAGAAATACTAAAATTTTAGCAGTAAGAATATTTTAAGTTTTGCTAATATTGCTCTGTAACTATTTTATTTATATAAACATATAAATCCATAAACAAAAGACAAAAATGACATTGTGCTATAATAATAATTTCTTAACATTGGAGATGGCAGTATGAGCACAGGAAATGTGTTCTGTTAAGATGGAATTACCTTAGAATAGGTATGTTCAATAAAAAATTTGTAAGCTCTAATCACAGAATTGAGGTTCCCAACAGTGGTAGGGAGTAGATAGGCTGAAAGTAGACTGTGGTAGAGTGTTATTGGTACTTTGGTGATGAGAACTATGTGGTAACACTGCATACCTAAAATACAGAAACATTTGCACTCGCCTGAACCATTACTATCACAATAAAAACAAATTTAAAAAAGAATATATTTTTTACTACATTAAAGAAACATTAAAAACATGTGTAATCAAAAAAGACTTTTAATTTCATTTAAATATATTTTTTACTACATTAAAGAAACATTAAAAACATGTGTAATCAAAAAAGACTTTTAATTTCATTTAAATAAAATGTCTGAGAGCTAGAGGTACGGCTCAGCATTTGAGTTTTGCATATGTGAGGACCCGAGTTAAATCCATAAAACTAATAACTATAACATATTGACAATTTGTTATAGTACATATCTGGAGCAGGTGAATTTATAGACAGAAAACAGATTAGTGGTTGACTAAACTGGGGTAAAATGAGATATATGTAATTAACTGGTAATGCGTATAGTATTTCTTTTAAGGAGAACAAAAAGGTTCTAAAATTACTTCATTGTGATGGCTGAGCAACCCTGTATAAGTGGGTAAGAGGTACAGCATGTGATAATCAAGCTGTTTGAAAAATTAAATGAATATATTTTCTAATTGTGCTCACCAAAAAAGAAAAAAAAATACCTGGATATAGGGGGAGGAGAGAAGATTCAGAGAAAGAGCTGAAGTGAATGTTTTCCATACAGGAGGCCTGGATTCATGCGCCAATAACTGTCTACAAAGACAGTAGCCACAGAGTGTGGCAGATTCCTTCCACCCAACCCAGCAAAAAAAAAAAAAAGATCATGCCAATAGCAATAAGCACTACTTACATCCAACTAGAACAGCTAATATCCATATTTTCTAAAACTGCTATGGTTGTAAGGAGAGATATTCTATTTTGGAACCATCTTGCATTGGAAAGAAAACATCTACTTCTACCTTTCCATCTTACTTCTCAAGTATTTCAACCCAAGAATCTTTCAACTCCATCAGGTACTTCCATTTCTTTATTCAACCAATTTTTCACAGTTGCTCTTATCCTTCTTCCTATTCTCGCTTCTCTACTTAGCTAGACAAAAATTCAGGGTCAACCAATATAATTAATTCCTGCTATCTTATATTCCCTATCTCTTACATTATTCTTATTTCATGAAACCACTTTATTTAAATCTAACTTACCCTGCCTTGTCTGATGCTGTGGCAGGAGAAAAATCAAATAACCAAGTATATGAGGCTTACTTTAAATTAACAAATACTAACATCAAGAGGTTTTCAAAGCTGCCTATATATCTATACTTCTTTAATCTATTCTCTATATCAAAGGTTTTGTACTAAGGAATTTATTATTTGTCTCCTCTTTCCTCAAGGGGGGAGGGCTGGAGCGATAGCACAGCGGGTAGGGCGTTCGCCTTACAAGTGGCCAACATGGCCGACCCAAGTTCGATTCCTCCGCCCCTCTCGGAGAGCCCGGCAAGCTACCGAGAGTATTCGATATGCCAGACACAGTAACAACAAAGTCTCCAATGGAGACGTTACTGGGCCCGCTCGAGCAAATCGACGATCAACGGGAGGGCCTTTACCTTTCCTCAAAATTGTAATATTTGTGTTCTATATGTAGATACATAAGTAGATGAATCTATATAAAATGGAGGGAGGTCTTCTATTGGGGCCAAACCCAGTGGTATTCAGGGTCTTACTCTCATTGAACACAGGTCTCCCACATGGAACGCGTACACTCTGTCCTTACATTGTATCTCCCATTCCTCTTCTTACTATTTAAGAACATGTCTATAAGGGCCCGCTTGAGCAAATCGATGAACAATGGGAGGAGAGTGACAGTGACAGTGACTCTTATCCTTATATCAAGTTTCTTTATGGAATCATTTCAATCAGTATGTAGTAGTTATTAAGTACATCAATTCTGTTCACTACTTCATTTAAATTTTTTTCCCATTTTATTCTTTACATACAGAAAAAAACAAAAAACTATAGCTAGTTTATTTATTTTTTTTACAGTGCACTGCTTTATTTATTTGTTGCACTGTTTTTTATTTATTGTTGAATCACCGTATAGCTAGTCTTTTTAGTTTTAATTCTCCAATTCTCTTTGACCCACACTCCACTGAAACAGTTCTTCAAAATTACTAATTATATTCCTGATGCTAAATTCAAAGGTGATCTCACAGTCCTCATTTAATGGCATATCTGACACTACTTATTAAAATATATTCTTCCCTTGATTTCCAGAATCTGACATTTACCTAGTTTTCCTCTACCCACTTCAAGTAAAGTTCTTTCAGTCTTTGTTGCTGATTTGTACTCCTTTCCCAGACTCTGTAACCCAGAGATATGTCCTCTACTTCTACATTTTTTCTATTTACCCTTACTTATATTTTTGGTCTTGTTTTGTTTTGTTTTGATTTTGGGCTTCACTCTGCGATGCTCAGGGCTTACTTCCGGTTTTGTGCTCAGGGATGCTAAGTTTGGGGGACCATATCAGGTGCCAAGGATTGAACTCAGGTTGGCTGCTTGCAAGGCAAGTGCTCTACCTGATGTACTATCCCTCTGGCTCATATATATTTTTTCTTTTTGGGCCACATCCATCAATGTACAGGGGTTACTCTTGGCTTTGCACTCAGGAATTACTCCTGACAGTGCTTAGGGGACTATATGGGATGCTGGGAATCGAACGCGAGTAGGTCGCATGTAAGGCAAATGCCCTACCCACTGTACTATCACTCCAGCCCCCCTCTGGCCCATATTTATCCTTATTCCTATTCCAGTTACCTTCTTCATTGATTTTATCCAGTTTATCTGCTTTAAATATCACCTATATGCTTACTTATAATTTCTTCTTTTTTTTCCTTTTGGGTCATACCCGGCGATGCACAAGTATCAGTTCCATATTCAAAATTCTGCAAGCTTTTAGTCTCATTCAGAATAAAGGCCAAGGGGCCAGAGTGATAGTACAGTGGGTGGAGAGCTTGCCCTGCGAGCAGCCCAAACCAGGTTCAACGCCTGGTACCCTAAATGGTTCCCTCAACCCTGCGAGGGGTGATCTCTGAGTGCATAGCCAGGATTAAGCCCTGAGCATCACAGGTTTGGCCCTAATATAAAACAAAAGAAAAGAATAAAGGCCAAATCATTAATAAAGCCTGCTCTGTTTTTCTTCTTCGCTTTCACTTACCTTTCTACAGAAGAATAATCTCAGATTATTCTCCCTTTCATTTGATATATTTCAGCCATACCAGCCCCTTCCTTTATAACATTCATTATTCCCCTCCAGGGCCTTTACAACTGTTGTTATAACCTTCCCTCAGTTACATGTATAATTAGTTCCTTTATATCCTTCATATATTAACACCTAAAACATTATTCCAACACATCACTAATTCTACGTTAACTTCCTAATTGCTTTTCCTCTTAGTATTTGTTATTATTAACATGTGTTATGTTGGGTACTTACCTTATTTGTTATCTGGCCCAAAATAGTGTAAGGACCATGATAGCTCGATGTCCCTTGTAAGTTCTAAGTTCTATCTAGAGCATCTAGAATTGTTCCTTTCATATAGACAAGAAAGCATTCAGCAGACAGAGGGAGGATGAGTAAGTGAATCCTTAATATATGAAGAATCCTGGGGGGGAAAAAGGAAAATAGAAAAACACTTTTGACAACAGGAAGTCCACAAAAAAAGGTTTTCTTATTTTTTGTGATGGACTGCAGGGCCTAAAAAAATGAAATGCAAATGTTCTCTCACTGAGCTACATCTCTGACTCCCAAGATTTTTTAAACATGGGAACTCAACACTTATCAAACCACCTCAAATGAAAATTTAAAAAATTATTTTACATATGAGGTAATTAAACATTACTGATATTAATGATATCAATTCTTTTTCAGGATCTTTGAATGGTATAAATCCTGGGTTGGAAATTAGTATCATTATTATAATAACTGGACAGATTTACAGAATGCTTAATAAGTTCATGCATTTCGATCTATCAGTTTCACTTCAAAGAGGCCTAGATAAAAATTAAAATGTAGGAAATGGCATTGCAACATGTCTCAAATAATTGCAGATAAACACACTATGAGTAATAATTTCAGAACTTTGGAAAGAAGCATATTATAAGAATATGTTAAATGTATGCCATGAAAAACTTTTAAGTGATTTATAATTGCGGATTTATAATTGCTTAAATGGGACGATAACATGTCTTGTTAAAAGACAAATGTAGGTAACTGACCATACACTACGCAGCCGCACAGCTATATATTCATGAATACATGAATATGTATTCTGAGGGAGGAGCACATTTTGACAGCAGCTGGTAGATTTATGAATGATTTTTGTTTCCTCTTAATATTTTCCTGCATTTCATCATTTAAGGCTGGGGATGCGCACAAAGCAACGTCGCTAAATACACAAAAATTCAGTTTAAAGTAAGCAAATATCCAGATTAAGACTTAGGGCTATTGATGCAGCAACATAAAAAATTGCCAATGTCCCTATCCCCAGAGAGCCCCGGTAGGTTTCGCAATCTCCACACACAATGGTCCTCTCTGCCTTCCATCCTCGGAGCTTCTCCCTCACTCCCGATTCCACACTCGCGTTCACACGGAACCAAGAACGGAAGACCGCAATCCCCCCAAATCCACGTCCACACGCGACCCCCACCACCACACCCGACCATAAATGTGTGCCGAAGACAGACACAACGCGCCTCCCGCTCCAGCGAACTCGGCCTCAGGGAGTCGCCGGCCACGACGTGCCTGGCTGGGCCCGGCATCCTCCAACCCGCACGGGGACCGGGTCCGCAGGCCCCGACTCGCGCCCCTCACAAAGAGGCCGGTGCTCGGTCCCGGCTCGCCGGCGACTCACCCCGAGCCCGCGAACACAGGTCCCAATTCCACACCTCAGCGCCGCCCCCGTGGCACGGCTGAGCGCCGGATGAAAGGAGGCGCCGCTCGGGTCAGCTCAGGCTGTGGGCCAGCGCGGGTGAGCCTCCCTCGGTCCGTTAGACGCGGGACAACACTTCCCAGAGGCCCCTGCGAGGCGCCTCGGACGCGGGGGGGCGGGGCGGCCCTTGTGGGCGTGGCCTGGCCGTTTGCCCACAGTGGGACTAACAGCTGGGTGTCACGACGCGTATCCTTTTCCACGGTGACTGTCGAGCGTTTCCTTCGGGGCCACCTCCCTTGAGGACGGCGTTCGGGGCTCGGGAGCGCAATTTGGTTCTGAGAAGAATTTTTCCAAAGCCGTTGGTTTTAGCCTTGCCCCAGACTACATTTCCCAGACGCCTTCGCGGCCCCAAATCTGTTCCCAGCGGAAAGTCTTTCCCTTTGATCTGTTCACTGCATCTTTATGATTCTTGGGGTTATGCTGCCTAGTCCGTGAAGCAAGTTCAGCTCTGTCCGTTTAGTTTCTTCTTTTCTGACCTTCACCCGGGACTGGATTTTAGCCGGGTGAAGGTGAGCTAAGTTTCGTATTCCTGGAACTGTCGGAAAAAAGGCGCGGGGGGCGGGGGGCGGAGGGCGGAGGGCGGGGGGCGGGGGTAGGTGGCGCTGTGTGAGATTTCAGCTGTGGAATTTGGGGTAGGAAATGTGTGGGGCTGAAAGAATCCGAGGTCCAGTGACACTCCGGGTCGTGCGATTACATAATCGCATTGTCGGAAAGTATAGTCTTGCGACCGTTTTCTAACTGTGTTATTTTCTCAGCCATGTGTGTTTGTCCCAGCTATTTGTGTACTTCTGGTTTCTGACTGGTGATCCCTGTTTCAATCTTGAAACTTACTAGGTTAAGTTCATGTCAGTTGTAAAATAGGATATTAAATAGGAAAAAATAAACGAGATTTGTCTGTTACTGAAATACCCATGCTTTCACCACCACACACTGTTGTTTCCACATTTGATGTGTTGTATGAATAAATGTGATACTGTATAGAAGGTACTGTTGAAGATGAAAACATGGAACCGTTAAATGGAAGTTAATGTCAAGAAGTCAAAGAAACTCTACCATCTGCAATGAAAATAAATAGGAATCAGGAACAAAATCCAAGACTAACCAGAAGATTGAAAAGATCTTTTTTTTTTTTCTTTTTTGGGTCACATCCGGCAATGATCAGAGATCACTCTTGGCTCTGCACTCAAGAATTACTCCTGGTGGTGCTCGGTGTGGACCATATGGGATTCCTGGGACTGAACCCAGGTGGGCAGCGTGCAAGGCTAATGCCCTTCCCACTGTCCTATTGCTCTGGCCCTAGACTAATTTTTATCTCCCTCTATTTCATTTGGTTTTCACTTTAAATTCAGAGGAACTGAATGACTGACAATGAAAATTAAAGACTGCAATTTTTCATGAGCGTGAAATAAATATATCCATGCAAACACTAGCTAAGGCTTTGGTGGCATTTAGTGTTGGCCCACAGTTTTTCAAAAAAAAAAAGCTGCAGTCTTCAGCATACTAATTTTTGGGAATTTGTAGTCCTGGAAGGTATTTTGTCTTTCAGCTCATAAGATTACCATGAAAGTATTTAAAGTCAAAAGGAGTATACTATTTCTAGGCTACATAGAAGACTCTGTCACAATGCTCCTTTCTAGATAATGGACTCAGCCTGAAAGCTGTGAATCACTGGGAAGAGACAAGAGTATCCCAACAAGGCATAGAATAGATCATCCAATTGAGTTTTTAATACTTGTTTCAGATATCTTAGCAGTAGAATTTTTGCCTTTATTTTTAGTACAAATTTTAAAGAGATGAGAAACAGTTGGATGTTTAGTATCCCTAATTTTGGTGGGGGATGTTTATAGACGTGTATTTCTCCTTTCACGTGTTAGGATTTTGTTTGTTATTTTTACTCATCTTCATAAATTGTGCACTGAGATGTGATAGCTTCCTGCTATATTGAGTTAACAGGAATTTATGGAATTTGCCCTTCTTGACATTGATCTTGGTCTTAGTAAATCTTATTGTTTTGTTTTGAGTGACATAACCTGTGTGCTCAGAGCTTACTCCTGATTATGTGTGGTGGGATCATTCCTGGCAGGGCTTGGGGGATCATATGGGGTGCTGGAGATCAAAACTTGGTTGGCCACAAGCAAAGAAAGTGCCTTACACACGGTACTCTCTCTCCAGCCCCATTTGACTATCTTGATACTACTATAGATTCATCATTTTTCTCTTGTGCCTAAGTTGCCTTTCCCCCCATTATAATAAGCTTTATGACTTAATTTTTGTGTGTCTTAACAGGTTTTCTTCTTGTCATCTTTGTTGTCACTTTTGTAACATTTCATCCAGTAAGTTAGTAAGATTCTATTGTGAACAATTTGCCAATATGACAGATCAGATCTCATATCATGGGAAGCTAATCAATGAGACACACACCTCCTGCACTGTTGGGAAAGGAAGTTGAAGATAATCAGTTCCAGTAACAATTGGGTGGTGTCTATTAAAAATGGAATTGGATAATTTACTTCAGAATGCTGATGGGACAAGAGAGATAGTACAGTGGCTATAGCGCTTGCCTTGCATACCACTGGCCCAGGTTTAGTCCCTGGCACCACATATGATGCTCCAAGCCCTGTCAGGAATGATCCCTGAGCACAGAGCCAGGAATAAGACCAAAGCATTGCAAACAATTACAAATTAATGTCTCTAACTTTAAAAAAATAAAAACCATTGCAACTAAACCAACTAACATTTAGGAAACTGCAATTTGGTTTTATTATTTCTTGACTACAATTTATTTGTTCTTTCACTTTCTCTTTTCTCATTCCTCTATTTTTTACAGAATATGATTTTTATTAGAAAAGATTTCCCACATAAATGAAATTTTTATTTACAAAGAAAATTATTATACTTCTGCTTTTTTGTCATAAACCATCATAACATATCTCATTCCTTTATTGTAAAAGAAGGAAGCCGTGTTCGTGAAGGAGAGACAGTAATTGTCCATGCCCGACTCAGAATCCCTAGCATCCCTTATGATCTCCTAATAACCACCAGGAGTAATTTCTAACTTGAGAACCAGGAAGTAAGCATTGCTGCGTATAACCCCAAAACAAACAAAAGAAAAGAAAACAGAAAAAAATATAGTATTGATTTTAAATGACAAACGGTATGTTTTCGTTTAATCTCAAATGGAGATGGGATGGGGAAAATATTTTATTTACGTACCCCCTTTCTTCATTAGTGATATGGCATGAGCACAAATTCAGAGGTGCTTAAGGACTTACTTTTGGCTCTGCACTCAGGACTTACTCCTCCTGACAGGATTTAGGGACCATATGCAGTGCAAGGCATCAAACCTATATCAGCCACGTGCAAGGATTTACTATAACTACCAGCAATATGGTCACTCTCACCCCACAATTGTTCTTTTTTTAAAAAAATTACTTTATTTTTGTTTGTTTTGGGGGCACATCCGGTGATGCTCAGTTTTCACTCCTCACTTTTCACTCAGCAGTTACTCCCGGTGGTGCTTGGGGTGCCATATGGGATGCCCAGGATCAAACACAGGTCTGCTATGTGCAAGGCAATCTCCCTATTCACTATGATACTGCTCTGGTCTCTCACTTGTCACTTCCAGAATTTCTTTTTCAGGTGGTGGCTGCTACTTCAGTTCACAGGTAGGAAGGGTACCCTAAGGGCTATCACCAGTTATCCCCCTAACTAAGGCTGAAAGAATTATATATAATTTTCCCTTCATCCTTAAATTCCCTTAGAATTGAAATATTTAAAATAAACTAAAATATATTAAAATTTGTAACTGAATTTATCAGTGAAGACATCTGGGTCTGCCATATTTGTGGGAAGGTTTCTAATTACCAGTTGAATTCATTTTATGTCTTATTTACTTTCTATTCAGACTTTTTTTCTTCTGTAATAAGATTTACTAGTTTGTGCTGTCAAATATTGAATTAAGGTTACCCATAATTTCTTAATTTTTCAATATTTGTAAAATCTGTAGTGATATCACCTCTCTTGTTCCTGATAGGGAAAAGTTATAGCCCTATGGATAGTTTATCTCCCTTTCTTTCCTGATCAACCATTTAAAAGTTTTATATTTTGCCATACTTGTACTTTTTGGGAGGTGGGGGGGGGGGGTGACGTTCCAGGGAGATTGACCCCAGGGCCTCACACATGTAAAGAATGAATCACATACATGAAAAGCACGCATCACTGAACCCCAGTCCCATCCATCCTTATACTTTTCAACCTTTGGCACGTTTTTCTTTCTAATCTGATCTGGTGCTCTTTAATTGGGACGCTCTAGTTCCATTACATTTAACCTGATTCTTGACATCATAAAGTTTATGACATCATAAACTTTCAATCTTACATCATGTTCCAAAGCGTGTGGTCAGATTCAAGAGTCATGGAGAGCCCGAGGAGCGGTATATCAGGGAAAACCTGTTTGGAGATGCGATATTTATATCTAGGTGGGAAGGAGTGGAAAGATCATGCACAGCTGGGACTCCTTTCAGGCATACTCATCCACTGTAGGGGCACAAGCCAGCGCGTGCAGCATGCACATTTCCCCCCTCCTGCCACCCAATTGTGACATCGGGGTGCTAAGGGAGGTGGGCTTGTGACTGCCGCCAGCAATCCAGATCTAGTGTGACGCTCGGCCGTGTCCCTCAGACGCGCCCAGGCTGGGAGCTGCGAGGCTCCACTGGACATCCCGGGAGAGGCGGGCGTGGGAGCCCCGCAGTGTCCCAGTCCCAGTCGAACGGCGCTGTGGCCACGGCACCCTGTGGCGCCGGTGCTGCGGATTTCCCGCGTTTGGACTACATTTCCCAGCGGCCTCTGCGAACACCGGGCCGGGAGCCCTTTTGTGTCCGCCTAAAGCCCTGTCGCTTCTTTTCGGGCCCCTGCTAGCTGCGATCTCTGACTCCCGGCTGCACGCGGGCCCGAGCGGAACTATCGTGGCGCTCGCAGGGCGGGGCCGGGGCTGGCCCGCGGTTCTGTTCTGCAAGTCGGTAGGTTGAGGATTGGACAGTGGGGGCCCTCCCGACGCTGGTCCCTGGGCCCTCTGAGTGACTCGTGCAGAGACGCACAGACCCTACTCCTGCCGCTGTTACCCGTTTGTTACACGTTTGTGTGACGGTATCTGCGAGCGATTCGATGGTTGATGGCAGAGAGCTAGACTGTAAGTCGGGTGGGGAGGTTGACCTCTGCCTGCCGCTTGAACCCTCTGCCCGCCGTGGCTCTGATTTCCAAAATTGGAGGCTTAGAAGTATGTGCTCGGGTGTCTCTGCATACACGCGGCCGCCGACTGCCATGTATGCTGGAAGGTGGGTGGTGCTGGAGTTTTTAGGAATCTCTCTGAAGTGAGACTGTGCCAGCCACCTCTGTTTAAAGCTAGCCAAGCTATGGCACGTGCCAAGTTTTAGAACCATTCATCTGTTGGAAAGGCCTGGAAGATCAGGAAGATATTTGATCTTGGTGCCAGGTGCTTATGAGTTGGGTGGCTTTATATGTCAATGATTATATTCCTCAGAATCTCTATTTGTAAATCTAGGAAATATGTTGTTACAAAATTAGGAAATAATTCAGGCATGTATTAACTTGAATGGAAACAAATTCCTAGGCCTCCATTATGTTTTCTTTATTATAGGGAAGGTGCTTCCCTTGAAAGGAGACAAAAGAAGCCAAAAGAAGCAAGATTGTGATTCTCATACAAGAAAAGCACAGTTTTTCATGTGTGCACCCCCTTCTCAGCTGTCTGAAGATCCTGCCACTTCTGGAGAGAAGAAAGACGAGGTGGGAGGATGTCTTTGGAACTTCTCAAAGCTATGTACCAGGTGTGTTGGTGTTTTTTCTAAAATAATTTTCCTGGTTTTCAAAACCAGCAGACATTAATTTTTCTTCTGCTCAGAATTTTCTGGATAACTGGTCATATGCTAAAGTCCTTGGCTTGGCCTGCAACATGCTACGTAATCTGGTTGTCTCTGAGCTTATGCACTGAGTTCTGTTCACACTAGCTTCCTTTTTGTGAGTTTAGCTACCCACTAAAACATAAAGCATTCTATTTTTGTTTGGGCAGGGGGAGGTGCAGGAGGGTGGTGTTCACAACTGGTGGTGCAGAGGGCTTATTCCTAGCTCTGAGCTCAACGGATCACTCCCATTAACAGTAAAGTAAAGGTCCTCCCGTTGATCATCGATTTGCTCGAGCGGGCCCAATAACGTCTCCATTGGAGACTTTGTTGTTACTGTGTTTGGCATATCAAATATGTCACGGGGAGCTTGCCAGGCTCTGCCACGCGGGCGAGATACTCTCGGTAGCTTGCCGGGCTCTCTGAGAGGGGCAGAGGAATCGAACTCGGGTTGGCCATGTTGGCTGCGTGCAAGGCAAACGCCCTACCCCTGTGCTATTGCTCCAGCCTACTCCCATTAGTTTATTCAAAAAGTTTTAATTAAATGCTTATTAACTCAGAGGGCATAGGCCTCGATCCTTTTTATTTATTTTTTTCCTTTTTGGGTCCACCTGGCGATGCTCAGGAGTTACTCCTGAATCTGCACTCAGAAATTACCTCTGGCTGTGTTCAGAGAATATGGGATGCTGGGGATTGAACCCGGGTCTGTCGCATGCAAGGCAAACGCCCTACCCACTATACTATCGCCCCAGCCTCCTTGATCCTCTTATTTGCTCTCTCCACACTTCTTTTATGATCTCATCCTGTCTCGTGGCTTTTTTTTTGGGGGGGGGGGGGAGGTCACACCTGGCGTTGCACAGGGGTTACTCCTGGCTCTGCACTCAGGAATTACTCCTGGCGGTGCAAAGGGGACCATATGGGATGCTGGGAATCGAACCCAGGTCGACTGCATGCAAGGCAAACGCCCTACCCGATGTGCTATCGCTCCAGCCCCTGTCTCATGGCTTTAAATACCATTTACATGCCAACAATTACTAGACTGTTAGAGCCTAGATATCTCTCCTGAAATTCAGATTTACATATCAAACTGTCTACTTAGGATTGTCATAAAACTCTAAACAGCTCAAATTCGGAGAAATGAACCATTGGAAAGTTTTCTGTTTGCTTGCTTTTTTGTTTTTGGGGCTACACCTGGAAATACTCAGCAGTTATTCCTGGCTCTGTACTCAGGAATCACTCCAGGCACTGCTGCTGGGACCATATGGGAAGCTGTGGATTGAACCCAGGTGAGCTGTGTGCAAGGCAAGCTCCTTACTTGCTGTACTATCTCTCCAGCCCCAGAATGCCTTTTAACTTTTATTTTGTGTTATTTAGGCCATACTCTGCTGTGCTCAGGACTTATTCCTGATCCTACCAGAGCTTGGGAGACCATATGTAGTGCCAGGAATCCAACTGGGATTGGCTACATGATAGCAAGCATCCAACTCCCCCTGTTTTCTCTCTCCAACCCCAACATTTAACTTTTATTTTATTTTATTTATTGCGTCACACCCAGCGATGCACATGGGTTACTCCTGGCTCATGCACTCAAGAATTACTCCTGTCAGTGCTCGGGGGACCATATGGGATGCTGGGAATCGAACCCGGGTGGGTCGCATGCAAGGCAAACGCCCTACCCGCTGTGCTATTGCTCCAACCCAACATTTAACTTTTAAATAAAGAAAGAAAGGTTAAGGTTAGAAGTGATTAAGAATAGAAGACCGAAAAATAAAAAATTTGAGGGGAACGGAGAAAGTATCAAATGTTCATTTAGAAGCATAGGAAAATTAATGAACTGGAGAGTTGAATCTTGTGGGTAGCTTTTTGGCCCACTTGAGGTTAGGGATCATGAATTTAAAATGACACTAATTAGCATGATTGGTATTGTATAATTTTGTTCCAACAAAGTTCAGCTGTTCAGGGACTGGAGTGATAGTACAGCAGGTAGGTTATTTGCCTTGTATCTAGATTTGATCCCTGGCACCCCATATAGTTCCTCGAAAGTTTCTCCCTCCTGCTAGAAATGATCCCTGAGTGCAGAGCTAGGAGTAAATCCTGGGTACCACTGGATATGGCCCCCAAACAAAAAAATAATAAAGTGATATGCAGGTCCTAGTAGGGTCAAAGAATTACCCTAATTGGAGTATAAGATATCAAAAGTTGGAAGTCAGAACATAAAAGTTTAGATTAGTGTTTCTGAACTGTTAAAAAATACATGTATATATTTTAATATATATTTATATTGTCACTGTCACTGTCCTCCATTTTTCATCAATTTGCTCGAGCGGGCACCAGTAATGTCTCCATTGAGAGACTTGTTATTGTATTTGGCATATAGAATTCGCCACGGGGAGTTTGCCAGGCGGAATTCTCTCAGTAGCTTACCAGACTCTCTGAGAGGGACAGAGAAATCAAACTCAGGTTGGCCGCATACAAAGCAAATGCCCTACCTGCTATGCTATCACTCCAGTCATATTTATATTATATACAAATTATAATATATATGTAAATGATAATTTATATAGGTTCTGAGGCCATTCCTCAGAATGCTATATAATTTATATACATAGGTTCTGGGGCCATTCCTGTCAGTGATCAGGGCTTACTCCTGGCTCTGTGCTTAGGGATCATTTTTACTGGATCCCATACAGGTGCTAGGGATAAAAGCCAAGTTGGCTGCATGCAAGGCAGATGTCCTACCTCTGTACTATTGCTCCTTGCCCCACCCCTTTTTTAACACTAGGGTCCCCTTCAAACTTTGTTTCCTTCCATGGTTCCTTTCCTACCTTTTGGCTCACTGATCTGACACAGCTTTTACTGTTGGCCTCTTGAAATATCCTGGGGGCTCACAGGGCATCATCTGGCCCCCACATGAGAAACAATAGTTTAGATTATGGGGGATTTGTTATTGGTAATGACAATGTCTGGGGCATGACCATGAAGGTGTGGAAACATGTGAAGGATGAGATATTATTGGAGGAGGTATGTGGGGATTGGGGCGGGGTGGGGAGGATTAAGGAATTGAGAGGCCAGATCGTAGGAATATTTATGAGGATATTGAAGTGTCTAGCCATTATAACAGGAGCACTGGGAGACTGACAGTGAACCAGATGTTGACGTTATAGAGAAATGACAGATAATGGTTTCTAGTAGAAAGTAGTAGATAATGAGAACAGAAAGAATCAAGGTATCTTCTGATTTTATGATGTTTAAAACATATGATCCTTTAGGGCGGAAGGAGAAGGAACGATCCAGAACAAATACAAAGAGTGATGAATTACCAGTCTCACCTCCAGGTGCTGTTGGTACAAGGAGCATGGGCAAGAAGAAAGTTATCACACTGTCAGGATTTTATGGGAGTCCTCTTAGCTAAGAACCACATTTCTATGAAAAACAAAAGGTAGAGGGAGGTCTCAGGTAGAAACGGCACATGCCTGGTCCTGTTGTTCCTGAGGTACATATCTGGTATCTCATGGGACACCTCTAACCACGTTCCCCCTAAACAACTAAGTGTGAACCTTATTTTTTAAAAAAAGGTGAAGGGGCTGGAGTGATAGTATAGCAGGTAGAGCAATTGCCTTGCATACTGCTGACCTGGCTTCAATCCCTGGCACTAGATTGGTCCTCCAAGCCCCGGCTCTTGAGCACAGAGCTGCGAGTAAGCCGGAACACCACCAAAACAAGTAAAGTTTGATTTGTGTGCTATAGATCATCATGTTACTGCTGGGGCAAGAAGGAAGACATTCACAAACTACTTCATATAATTAAATGAGAAAAATGATCCTTGAGTGTTAGAAATCACTTTAGCAATTTCTATTCCCCAGAGACAGTTTCATTTCTTTCTTATTTTGATGGGAGCCTTCCAAGTTGTGCTCAAGGCTTCCAGGTCCTTCTAAGAGATTCAGTGTGAGGGCTTGAGGGAGCGGAGCTATTCTAGCCCTGCTATGCCAGGGATTACCTAGCTTCCTGGTGGTGCTCTTAGGGCCTCCAGAACTACCCCTGGCGAAGCGTGGAGGGGCCTCCAGTGCTGTACTTGGTGACTAGGTGCCAGGGATCAAATTGGGGTTGACTAAATACCAGGCATGTTCATTAACCCCTGTGCTCTCTCTCAGCCCGAAATGGTTTTTTTAACTATGAAATATATATCAGACACGTATTAGTCCTTTCTTGCTTTGGTAGATTTACCTCTTCTAATTTTGTAAGATATACAAATATAAGTACGTATGTGTGTATGTGCATAAATATATATGAAGCACGGTGAGAGGGAGAGGGAACAGCAGGGTAAGACCATTGCTCTTTTGTTTTTTTTTTTAAATGGGCCACACCCCCAAGATGCTCAGGGCTTTCTCCTGGCTCTGCACTCAGGGGCCTGATGGGCTTGGGGGACCATATGGGATGTTGATAAAACCTGGATCAGTCACATGCAAGGCAAGCACCTTACTATATTTCTGGACCCTTACCATTCCTTTCTTTTATACATATATACACACATATACACATCACTTTCATTACTTTTCAGTCAGCAAGTGGTTACCACTGAGAGCACTGGAATCCTTCTGAACCATGAAGCAGAGATTCAGGTTTCAAGAATTCTGCCAGTGCATTAGCAGAAGCAGAATTGATAGTGAGACATTCCTATACATGTGTTTTTTAAGATTTTTAAGTACTTTGAACTGAATTATTTAAATCATCATCACTATCCTCCCATTGTTCATCGATTTGCTCGAGCGGGCCCAGTAACGTCTCCATTGGAGACTTTGTTGTTACTGTGTTTGACATATCCAATACATCACGGGTAGCTTGCCAGGCTCTGCCGTGAGGGCGAGATACTCTCAGTAGTTTGCCAGGCTCTCCGAGAGGGGCAGAGGAATCGAACTCGGGTCAGCCCTGTTGGCTGCATGCAAGGCAAACGCCCTACCGCTGTGCTATCGCTCCAGCAGAAGTTCTGGGCTGTAGTGCGCTATGCCGATCGGGTGTCCGCACTAAGTTTGGCATCAATATGGTGACCCTCCGGGAGCGAAGGACCACCAGGTTGCCTAGGGAATTATTTAAATATTAGTGGACTAATGATTTTCTTTGGTCTGATAGTTTTCAGAGTTGTAGCAAGCATTTTATTGTCTCATTTTTGAAATCTTACACCTTCTTGGACCTTTTAAGCCATTTGTTAGTTCAATCCATTACCATTTATTTGAATACCCTCACCTGTACTATTATTTTTCTGCACATATAGCAGTGATAAAAAAATTTTAAATGCACTCTGTTCTCATGAACCTTATATTTTGTTGGACATAGGATACATACAATAAATGATAAAGCAGTGAAGTGACACAAAACAATATGCGGCCGAAGTGACAGTACAGTGGGTAGGACACTTGGCTTGCATGCTGCCAAGCTGTGCTCAGGGCTTCCAGGTCCTTCTAAGAGATTCAATGTGAGGGCTTGAGTTCAATCTCAACATTTCATATGATCCCCTGAGCATCGCCAAGAGTGGTCCTGAGTGTAGAGCCAGGAGTAACCCATGAGCACTGCTAGGTGTAACCCCCCCCCACACACACAAAAAAAATAGGTTTGGGGAGTAGGGAGTAGGATAAGAGCATTGCTACATCTACAAAGAATGGGTCAGAGGGGAAAAGATAATATAATGGGCTAAGGCTATCCTTGTCTTTGGACAGCAGACCAAGATTTGTTCCCTGGCATCCCTTATAGTTTCCTGAGCACTGGCGTTTGTAGCCCAAAGGCAAAAACAAAGTCCAAGAAGAATGATCTTAGGGGGAACTTGTGATTTTTGTTTGTTTTTTTGGGGCCACACCCAGTGACTCTGAGGGCTGACTCTTGGCTCTGTGCTCAAGAATTACTCTTGCTGGTGCTTGGTGGACGTTATGGAGTGCCAGGGATCAAACCCAGGTCAGCTCCCTGCAAGGCAAGCATCCCACCTTCTGTACTATTGCTCTAGCCCCACATACGACACTTTGAGGATGTAAAATCAAAGAGGATCCAGTATACAGTATAAAATCAGAGAGGATTTAGTGTACAGTATACAGGGGCAGAACAATGAAGGAGACAACAGTAAAAGATAAGTTTCTTTCTTTCCTTTCAGGAGTTAGTGACCTTTGGAGATGTGGCTGTAGACTTTTCCCAGGAGGAGTGGGATTGTCTGAATTCTTCTCAAAGGCATCTATACAGTAATGTGATGTTGGAGAACTACAGGGTCTTAGTCTCACTGGGTAAGAAACTCACAGAATTGAACTTATACTCCCAAGTACAGCTCCTGGTGTTGGAGCTCAGTGGTAAACACTTGCCTTTTAGATTTGAGGCCCTGGGTTTGATCCCGGCATCACACACACACACACACACACACACACACACACACACACACACCCTTCTCTTTGGACTGGAGTTTCATCTCTAGCACCCCATATGGTCCTCTGAGCCCTGCCACGAGTGATTCCCAAACATAGAAATATAGAATCAGTACTAAGCCCTGAGCACTGCCAGTTGTCCCCCCATATTTTATATATATATATATATATATATATATATATATATATATATATTTGGATAGTATCTGCAATGCTTAGCTGAAGCTCTGTCTGCTGCCCGTGTCAGTCAGTGTAATGGCTTAATATTCATGGAGTTGGTAGTCAACAGATCAGTTATTAATCCATGTTGGAAGGTTCAGTGCTTCTCCTTGGATACATATCCTTTCCAGTTTCCCCTGATTTACTGTAAGCTCCCTCTTCTCTAATCATCAAAGATTTGGAAGTGGGTTCTGGAATATATACAACACGATCAAATTCTGGTTTTGTTTTTATTTTTAACATGCAGGTCTTTGTTTTTCTAAGCCAAGTGTAATATTATTGTTGGAACAAGGCAAAGAGCCCTGGATGGTGAAGAGAGAGCTCACACAAAGCGTGTGTTCAGGTGAGTGAAGAGGAAATAGGCAAAAGCTTTTGCAGGTATCAACTGAGCCTGGCTCAGAGTTCTAACCTCTTCATCCCTTATTAGCACGTTCTTGAAAAGGTCACCGTTTCCAGATTCTGGTTGTAATGAACAAACAATTGCAGATGTCACTTCGACTATACTTTTTTGCCTCTCTGGGATATATTTCCAGGAGTGGTATTGCTGGGTCAAATGGGAGATCAAATTCTAATTTTTTGAGAATCGTCCATACTGTTTTCCAAAAGGGTTGGACCAATCGGCATTCCCACCAGCAGTGAAAAAGGGTCCCTTTCTCGCAACATCCGTGCCAGCACCGGTTGCTTTTGTTCTTGTGGATGTGGGCCAATCTCTGTGGTATGAAATGATATCTCATTGTTGTTTTGATCTGCATCTCTCTGATAGCCAGAATCTGGAAAAAACCTGAGTGCCCGAGAACAGATGACTGGTTAAAGAAACTTTGGTACATTTACACAATGGAGTACTATGTAACTGTTAGAAAAGACGAAGTCATGAAATTTACATACAAGTGGTACTACATGGGAAGTATCATGTTAAGTGAAATGAGTCACAAAGAGTGGGATAGACACAGAAAGATTGCATTCATCTGGGGAACATAAAGCAAGAAAATGGGACACTAACACCCAGGAGTGGTTGAGATTAGTACCAGGAATTTTGCTCCATGACTTGGAGGGCACTTCCAAGTCCAGGGAGATAGCTCAGGAAATATCAGTGCTGTAGAACTACATATAGTACTGTAGAACCCAGCTGCATGCAAGACAAGCATCCTACTCTCTGTATTCAACCCTATGTCTTAATTTTTAATAGTTGTACCATATATCTCTAAACAAAATATATCTGCACATTTTCACTTTTTTATGCATGAAATATATTTTATATGATTCTGGCTTTTTTTTGTTTGTTTTTGGAGGGCGGCATACCCAGCAGTGCACAGGGCTTACTCCTGGCTCTGTGCTCAAAAATCACTCCTGATTCCAGGGACCCTAAGTGGTGCCAGGGATCAAACATAGGACAGCCACATAGCAAGGCAAATGTCCTACATGTTTTACTGTCTCCCTGACCCCAGACTTTTCTTTTTAACTTTGCGAGCACTGAAAGCTTATTTCTGACTGTGTTCAGGAACACTCCTGGTGGTGCTTCAAATCTTTCAACAGTTTTTAAGAATAGTATATTCATATAAACTATTGGTAATTTATTACTTTGTTCATTTATTGTTTGTTGATTTTACCCTCTTTCCCTTGATATTCTGCTTTTATGTTTTCTTTTGGTTTGGTTTGGGGCCTTCTAAGGAGCAGAGCACCTGGATCCCCTCCTAGTAATGCTCGGCCTAACAGTTTGATGCTCCACCAGGTAATATGCTACTCAGGCAGCATATTTGGTGTTACAGGGCTAGATGGACCACGTATCCACTGATGTTGGAGGCCATGCAGTCCTGCTCCTAGAGAACATGCTCAGGATCTTTCATGCCAGGCATGTGCTTCAGTCCTTTGAGCTATCTGCCTAATCTGCTTTTTGATTTTTATTAAAAGTTTTTGATAGGCATTGAGCCTATTGGTATACCCACTATTTGGCTATGTACAAGGAGGGCATTCTACCACACCAGTTCTTTTTTCTGGCCCTTAAGATAAACACCTGTCTGTTAAGTGATATAGCATTGATGTTTTGATTTGTATTGCCCTGATTATCAGTGATAATATGGGTATTGGCTTATTATTTTGGTCACAGGTTGTGGTGCGTGGAGAGTGTTCCCACGTCAGTGCTTGGGGGCTTCTCCCACTGATGCTCAAGGAACAAGGTGGTACCAAGAATTAATTCCAGGATCCCAACATGCAAAATCATGTGCTCCAGGCCTTTGAGCCATCTCTGCATGACTAGCTGGCATTTTTTTTCTCCCTCATTCCTGCTAGCCTATGTTCTCTGGAAGTCACTTATTTTGCTCTTCTCCCTTTTTCTTTTCTTTTTTCATTTGTAATTTAGAGAGTTACAAATTTATTCATTATAAAGTTTCAAGTGTAGAATGTTACAACACCAATCCCTTCACCTGTGTCCACTTCCCTCGTTTCCCTTCCATTGTCCACCCTGCTTCTCAAGTGGGTACTTTCCTCCTCTACCACTGTCCTAATATTCCCTTCTTTAATTTATCCCCACCCCCATCCCCCATGCCTACTTCAGTGGCAAGCTGCCTACTGAAGACCAGTTAGTTCTCTTGCTCTTCGTTTCCATTGCTTTTTTTTTTTATGCTTTTTGGGTCACACCCGGAAATGCACAGGGGTTACTCCTGGCTCTGTGCTCAGGAATTACAGCTGGTGGTGCTCAGGGGACCATATGGGATGCTGGGAATCAAACCCGGCCCGACCGCGTGCAAGACAAACGCCCTACCCACGGTGCTATTGCTCCAGCCCCTCCATTGCCTTTGGGTATTCGATATTCCCCCACTCCATTTCATTATATTCCACATAAGAGAGGTCATTCTGTGTCTGTCCCTCTCCCTTTGACTACCTTCTCTCCATATTATGCTTTGCAGAGCAGGCCACATAGTATCAAATTGCAAGATTTCATAATATTCCATTGTGTATATGTACCATAGTTTATCTAGTCTTCTGTTCCTGGTCACTTGGGTTGCAAGATTTTGCCTGTAGTGAACATAGTGCTGTAATGAACATAAGAGTGCAGATGCCTTTTCTGCATTGCACGTTTGGGCCCCTGGGATATATTCCAAGGAGTGGAATTGGTGGCTTATCTGGAAGTCTCCCCACTAGGAGTTCATGCATGGGGCTACTCTTAGTTGCTCAGGGGTTGCTTGCAGTGGTATTTAGGAGATCATGTGATTTTGGAAATTGAACCCAGAATTCCCCCACTCAAATATGTGCTCTGACCCTTTGAATATCTCCCCAGCCTCCTGAATTTCTTAATTTTTGTCTATCTTGGATATTAGTTCTTTATCATTTGTTTGCTGTTAATATTTTCTCCTATTAAGTAGAATTTATTTTATTTTACTTTTTGTTTTGTTTTTGGACCACACCTTGCAGTGCTTAGGGGTTACTCCTGGCTCTGACTCAGGATTTACTCCTTATGGTGCTAGGGGATTATATAGGATGCCAGAATTTGAACCAGGGTCAGCCATGTGTAAGGCTAATGCTCAACCTGCTATATTACCATGCTGGCACCAGGAACTTTTTTTTAACTGTTAGTTTAAAAAAACTTTTTTTTGGTTTGTTTTCTGGGCCATCCTCAGTGGTGCTCAAGGCTGATTCTTGACTCTGTGCTCAGGGATCACTCCTGGTGATGCTCAGGGGACCAAATGTGGTGCCTGGGAATCAAACCTGGGTAGACTGAGTGCAATGCAAAGGCATTAAGCCCTATACTATCTCTCTGGGCCCTTTCTTTCTTTACTTATTGAAAATTTTGTAGTGCAGAAGCTTTCAGTTTGATGTAATACCTTTTGTCTTCCTTGATGTATTTTACAGCTTTAGGTCTAATATCAAAGTGTTTAATCCAGTTTCAGTTAACTTTTGAGTATGAGATTATTGTTAACTATCATTCTTTTACACATGGTAACCAGTTTCCTCAACCATTTGTTGGACAGGCTTTATTCTTCCATTTATACTCTTTGTCATAAGTGAACTGTTTAGATGTTTGAGGGTTATTGTTGGAATCTCAGTTCTATTTCACTGATCTGAGTGTTTGCTTTTAATCCTGTATCACACTGCCTAAAATACTTGTATAGTGTGGTTTACAGTTAGGGAATACAATGCCTTTCCTCTTATTTATCCTCAATATTTTTTGGTTTTATGTGTATGAGGATGTTCATACAAACTTAATAATTGCTGTCCTTAAAAAAAAATTACATGAAAATTTTGATAGGGCTTCCACAGTTTGTATAATGCTTTGGGTAGGAATCTTTTTCCATGTCCTTGTATCTTCTATTTATCTCAATAATGAATTTGTAGACTTAGATGAATAAATAAATATTCCTGTTGATTTTTTGGTATTTGATTTTTTATAATTTATTTTTGTCAATATTTTGTTTTGTGGGCCACACTCAGCAATACACAGGGGTTACTCTTGGATCTACACTCAGGAATCACTCCTAGTAGTACATGGGGACCATATGGGATAATGGGATTTCAACCCAAATTGGCTGCTTTTGTACTATCTCTGTAGTCCCAGATTTTAAAAATATAATTAAAATTGAATTAAAAAAATTTTTGTAACACATTGCTTACATACAAAAATACAGAGACTTTACTATGTTGATATTTCTACCCTGACATTTTACGAGGGTAAAATGTTTTCTCTTTTATTGTTCCACTCGTTTTTTATACTCTCTTTAGGATTTTCTATGTATAGTGTCATGTCTGCAAAAAGTGACAGTTTTACTTCTTTTCCGGTTTGAATCCTTTCTCATACTTAATTGATGTGAGTAGGACTTTGAATATTATACTGAATGATAATAGTAATAATGGATATTTTTGTGCCTAATCTTAGTGGAAAATATTTCAAGTGTTCATCATTTTGTTTATTTTGGTTTCGGGGCCACACTAGGCTTTGCTCCTGTCTTCACTCAGTAATCACTCCTGGCAGGGTTTTGCTCCTGTCTTCACTCAGTAATCACTCCTGGCAGTCTTGGGGGACTAAATGGTGTGCCAGGGGTCAAACCAAGATTGGCTGCATGGAAAGCTAGCACCCTACCAGCTGTATCATTACTCCAGCACTTAGCAAAGTTTTAAAATCAGAAGTATGAAACCTCCAGCTTTGAAAATCTCTTTTCAAAGATTTTTATTTCCTATTCAGGGTTAATCTTTTCAATACTTTTCTATTTATAGGAAAAATTATGGAATTTTTGTAGTATTTTTAATATTTTAGGTTTTTAGGGGCCATACCCAGTGGTACTCAGGGCTTAGTCCTGGCTCTGTGCTCGGGGATCACTCCTGGTAGGTTTTGGAGGACCATGAGGTATGCCAGGTACCAAATACAAGTTGGCTGAGTATAAAGACTAGTATACCTTAGCACTATACTAGCTCCCCAGGCCTTGATGGTTATTCTTTTTATCGGCACCTATTCTCTTTATGTAGTGTGTTTATCTATTTGCCAGAAAATTCCAATTTAAAATCTATAGCTAAGAATATTCTTTTTTTTTCCTCTCTAGGGGCCACTTAAGGGTGCTCTGGGTTTTGAGATCCAACCAGGGTTTACATGCTATGCGTACTTTTATCTTAAACTCAGTATTTTATGACTTTGCTTTCCGGCATTTATATATCAAAGTCTAAATGGTAGCTTAAAATGATCATTTTCAAAACTAAACTCTTAATTCTTCTGTATTTTGCAAAATAAACCTGTTGTACCCGTGGTTATTCCTTTTAGTGTAGATGCTGATTACACTTTTATTTTGCAAAGTACATACAATTTTTTAGGCATGCATATATTTTTCTATTACATTAAACAACGATGATGTTAAAAATTCCTCATAAAGTACAGTCAGAATATGATCACCTTCACTGTACCTCTGTTATATCACTGTCACTATCCTCCCGTTGTTTATTGATTTTGCTTGTGTGGGCCCAATAACATTGTGAGACTTGTTACTATGTTTGGCATATCGAATACATCACGGGTAGTTTGCCAGGCTTTGCTGTGAGGGTGAGATACTCTCAGTAGCTTGCAGGGCTCTATGAGAGGGACGGAGGAATCAAACTCAGGTCAGCTGTTTCGGCTGTGTGCAAGGCAAACGCCCTACCTGCTGTGCTATTGCTGTTATGTATCTGATCTAAATCATCATATTGTACCTGGGGTACCCTAGCTTCTTCATTAACTAACAATAATGAGTTTACTCAAAACTCTTCATCATGGGGCTGGGGAGAAAGCTCAACAGATTGGAACATATGTCATTGCCTCAGCTGAGATAATTTCTTTTTGAACTGATTGAGATATATCTTACAGAATTTTTTATTCTATTCATTTCTTCTCAACTACTTGCATGACATATTTTTAGTTTCTGTTCTACACATCAGCACTAAGAAAGTAATTGTATTAGATTTTATTTGGAGGGGTTTTGGGGTCACATCTTGCTGCACTCAAAGAGCTTTCTTCTGGCTTTGTGCTCAAGGATCACTCCTGGCAGGACTGTGTGATGCCAGGGATCAATCCTGAGCTAGCTGCATGAAAGGCAGACACCTTACTATCTCAGTAGCCCCAGATTTTATTTTCTGCTAAGTCATAAACCTCACATTATACATGCACTTCTATTAATGTACCTTTTGGTATATGGCTGAAAAAATACTTTCTTATTTTTCAGGCTGGGAACCTATATCTGAAACTGAAGAATTAACCGCAAAGCAGAATATTTATGAAGAACACTCATCACAAAAGATACTAGGAAAACTTACAAGCCTTGATTATCAGCATTTGAGAGAAAATTGGAAATGTGAGGATCATCTTGAAAGACACCCCCGGAATCAGAAAGCTTGTTTTAAGAAAGAGATGATCACTCATGATGATGCCCTTGATGAAAGAGGACAGGAAGACAACAAATCTTGGGGATCCTTGTATTCAAAAATACAGCTTCATAAACAACAGGTACTCCCCAAAGAGGAGGAAGTATATAAACATGAAACACTTAGGAGAACCTTTAAAAAGAGTTCAATTACCGTGAGGCCTAAAAATATCTATACGGAGAAGAAACTTCTGAAATGTAATGACTGTGAAAAAGTCTTTAGCCAGAGCTCATCGCTTACTCTTCATCAAAGAATTCACACTGGGGAGAAACCTTATAAATGTATAGAGTGTGGGAAAGCGTTCAGTCAGAGGTCAAATCTTGTTCAACATCAAAGGATTCATACTGGAGAAAAACCGTATGAATGTAAGGAATGTAGGAAAGCCTTCAGTCAAAATGCACACCTGGTTCAACACTTGAGAGTTCATACGGGAGAAAAACCTTATGAATGTAAGGTGTGTAGGAAAGCCTTCAGCCAGTTTGCCTACCTTGCTCAACATCAGAGGGTACATACTGGAGAGAAACCCTATGAATGTATTGAGTGTGGGAAAGCATTTAGCAATAGATCATCCATTGCACAACACCAGAGAGTTCATACTGGTGAGAAACCTTATGAATGTAATGTCTGTGGGAAAGCATTTAGTCTTCGTGCATACCTTACTGTACATCAGAGAATACATACTGGAGAGAGACCCTATGAGTGTAAGGAATGTGGAAAGGCTTTTAGCCAGAATTCACACCTTGCTCAACATCAGAGAATTCACACTGGAGAAAAACCGTATAAATGTCAGGAATGTAGGAAAGCATTTAGCCAGATTGCCTATCTTGCTCAACATCAAAGAGTTCATACTGGAGAGAAACCCTATGAATGCATTAAATGTGGGAAGGCTTTCAGTAATGACTCATCACTTACTCAACACCAGAGAGTTCATACTGGAGAGAAACCTTATGAATGTAATGTTTGTGGAAAGGCTTTCAGCTATTGCGGATCCCTTGCCCAACATCAGCGAATTCACACTGGAGAAAGACCTTATGAATGTAAGGAATGCAAAAAAACCTTCAGGCAGCACGCACACCTTGCTCATCATCAGAGAATCCATCTTGTGGAGTCACTCTCACCACCCAATCCAGTCAGTCACCAAATCCTATAGACCCTCTGAAATATTTATGTCATTTATACCCTTCTCCATCTCTAATGTTATCCCTGGTCTAAGATGTATCTCACCTGGATCACTGCTAGAGATTTCATCTGATTTGGGTCTCCCTATATCATTGATTCCATTAAGTACAATTTCCACCATGTACCCAAAGTTTTAGTTTTGAAGTATAAGACCTCACATATCAATGTCTCTGGTTAAAACTTTTTTAATTTTGCTATTCTTAAGTTGACATTCAATCATTAAATGTGTCTATGGTGTGCTCTATGTTTCATATATTTCTCAACCTTATTTTACTCTCCCTCTCTGGGAGCTAGGCACTTTTAGGCCTGAGAGCTTGGATTTTGGAAAAACTGTATTTCTAGTACCTTTGAGCAATTTGCCTGGTTTATCTAAACCTCAGGGTTTTAGTTCTGAAAATAGGGTTACTAAGAGATGCTGTATTGTAGAAATGTATTACATTAAATGGTGTCTCTTGTAGACTGATGCATTTTCAGTAAGAAATTTGCATGTAAAATACTTCACATAGTGCATCAAATATAGCAGATGTCCAACAACTAACCTGTGTTAACTACCTACTAAGCACCTGGCACTGATTTACATATTCAATATGTATTAGCTCATTAACTCCTAACAGCTAAAACAAGACCCCTTAGTGGACAAAGCAGACCATACCTGAGCAGATCAAAATTGAAAAAATGTAAAAGATTCAGAGCATAAATGAAAATCTTTGTGCTATGGGTGATTGGTCAATATAGACATAAGCAAAGTTATAATATATGTACCCAGCTTTAGAACATTTCTGAAGAAAACTGAGCATGAGAACAAACTGGAAACATTCTCACCAAAAATAATTTATATTTTGATCAAGATCATAGAGCACAATTAATTGATAAAAATCAGTAAACAAATTCTATCCTATAAAAAGGCATGAAATCTAGGTAAATGTGGGCGAATCTGAATAATTTTGTTAGCATTTAAACTTTTCTGTGTAACAGGAAAAAGATTTAAATGTATCTAGTGGTTATAAAATTGAAATTGGAGAGACAGTACTTTGGGTCTGGTGCATGCTTGCACATGGCCAACCTAGGTTCCATCCCTAGCACCCTATATGGTTCTCAGAACATGACCAGGGATGATGCCTGAGTGAAGAGCCAAGAGTGGGCCCTGAACACCGCCATGTATGACGCCAAAACAGAGATAAAGAAATTCAGGAATGTAAAATACAGATTAAATTTACTATATAATATATAAATATTAGGGCTGGAGCGATAGCACAGCAGTAGGGCATTTGCCTTGCGCGCAGCCAGCCCGGCCAAGCTGGGTTCGGATCCTCTGCCCCTCTCAGAGAGCCTGGCAAGCTACCGAGAGTATCTTGCCTGCACGGCAAAGTCTGGCAAGCTACCTGTGACGTATTCAATATGCCAAACACAGTAACAGCAAGTCTCAAAAAAAATGGATACGTTACTGAACCAGCTCGATGAATCGATGAACAACGGAAGGACAGTGACAGTGATATAAATATTAACTTATACATAGTAATATAGACCTTCATTAAGTGAATATTGAGTACAGAATATTTGCCAGACACTGTTTTGGGTTGAAGGAGAGGATAATGAACAATACATTTCCTCATGGAGTTAATTTTCAGAGGCTAAGACAGCCTTATATAAAATAATAGGTTTTGGGGCTGGAGCAATAGCACAGCGGGTAGGGTGTTTGCCTTGCATGCAGCCAACATGGCCAACATAGGTTCGATTCCCAGCATCCCATATGGTCCCCTGAGCACCGCCAGGAGTGATTCCTGAGTGCATGAGCCAGGAGTAACCCCTGAGCATAGCCGGGTATGACCCAAAAAGCAAAAAATAAATAAATAAAATAATAGGTTTTCTAGACTCAGAAAATTAAATGTAATTTGAGTGTAATACTTCCTAACCACAGGATTCCAAGCTTATTTGGTCTACCGTTCCCTTTCCCTAAAAAAGTTGCTCAGTCATCTCTGGAAATTTATCTTTTAAAAGCAAAGAAATTGTCCCCCAACTGCATTTGGGTCTACTACCAACCCCTGGACTGTTCCAGCAATCCTGGGGTATCACCCACTTTGGGAAAGTGGTCAAGACTAAAGAGACTCAATACAGTTATTAGTTATTCCTAATTCACAAATTGGTTGTAGGCCTAAGCAGGATTTCTCAGTGGGCATTTTTACCTTTTTAATTCACAATTTTATGAACTGTAAATTATTGTGAAGAGCAAGAAAATTGCTGAGTGATCTAGTAGAAATTTTGTATATAGCATGGGGCTCAAACAAGTGGAGAATCTCCAATAGTAAGGCAACTGAAATTAAAATCACCATTTCTATTTCAATATCATTGTGACAAAAAAGCATTACAATACCAGTTACTGGAAAGATGTGAAGCAACGGAAATATTTATACAGTGGTACAGATAACTATAGTAGGATAATTTGGCAATATTTAGTAAAGTCAAACATGTGGATAACATTGATCTAGAAGCTCCACACTCTGTGTTATTTATTGGTGGTGTGAGAAAGAATATTTAAAGCAGTCAAAACAACCATTAAAGTAAATACAAGTTAAAATGAAGTAAAACTTTCACTAACATGAATAAATATTAAAAAAGTAATGAAAATGAACTAGAGTTTATGTATGTGCTGCTTATGTCTATAAACTTTGAAAGCATGCAAAAATGCTTTGGGTATTTTCCTTGACACTATGTCATACAGAAATAATAAAATGTCATGAAAGTAATCAAATACAAAAGAATGGTATCCTCCAGGGAGAGGAGATAAATGTAAAACTGAAGAAAGTTCACAAAAGAAAATACCATTTAATAATTTAAAAATTAAGCAAACGTGACTAGTACTTACAAGCTGATAAAGCTGGTTGTTAGTTTATTGATAAGTTCTTATTGTTTCTTTCTGAATATTTAAACTATTGCATAATAAAAATAAAGATCATTAAAATGCTTGCCTTTGTTACTTTCTTTTATTCAGGTATGCTACTTGTGTTGCCATTCATGTTCACCAATTTCTTAAGAAATAAGATGGTAATATATTTGAGGGAATAGTACAATTTGGTGACTTCCCTTTCTTTTTTGTATCAGTGGGTTTTTTTTTTTCTTTTTTTGAGTCACACCCAGCGATGCACAGGGGTTACTCCTGGTTCATGCACTCAGGAATTACTCCTGGCCATGCTTGGGGGACCATATGGGATGCTGGGAATCGAAACCGGGTCGGCCTGCTGTTCTATCACTCCAGCCCCTGTATCAGTGTTTTGAAAGTGATATTTACACTGAAAATCTTAAAAGCTACTATGTTTCCTCTATTTTTTCCCACCATTATATTAAGATTATTTAATTCGTAAATGATGTTTTGACATGTGTATATACTATGAAGTAATTATCATAATGAACTAAAAATAACACCTCAGTTAATTTTTGTATGTTGTGAGAATGAGGTCTAAGCAAATTTTAAGTATATACTAACTCTAGTTATGTTCTAAGTTAGGTTTTTATAAATTTATTTTGGGGGCACACCTGGAGACTCAGAGGTTACTCTTGACAGTGCACAGAGAACCATATGAGAGCTGAAGTAGGATTGATGAATTTTTATGGCAGTTATTTCAGTTTTTATATAGGCCTGTGCTATTTTAAATATTATTTCTAGCAAATAACTTTTATTTTGGGGATGCACCCAGCTGTGCTCAAAGCTTACCTGTGGCTCTGAACTCAGGGATCACTGCTTGTTGGGGGATATGTGGGGTTCTGGAAACCAACTCTGGGTTGGTGATCAATTGCGTGCAAGGCAAGTGTTGTACCCATTGTACTCTCACTCTGACCCCTTTCATTTTCAGTGTTTGTCATGGGGAGAGCGACACCTGGCTGTGCTAAGGGGTTACTCCTGGCAGTGCTCAGGGGTTACTCCTGGTAGTGCTCAGGGGATCATACAGTGCCAAAGACTGAATTTGGATTAACTGCCTGTAAGGCAAATGCCCTACCCACTGCATTATCATTTTAGCCTCAATAACAAGTTCTTTGTCTTTGTTTTGCTTCTATTGACTTTTTTCCATTCCTCCTCTTCATTTTATACATTCATTCGATTTACCTTGCTAGAAACTCAGTTTAATAAATAGAAGCCACTGCAAAATACACTTGTTTATAATTTTCCCCGTTCAAAGGTGGTCAGCACGAGAGTTTTGACCTGCTTCGTTTCCAACCTGGGCCGGTTCACCTCTCCTTAGGCAACCTGGTAGAACTCCGCTCCCAGAGGGTCACAATATTGATGCCAAACTTAGTGTGCACACCCAATCGGCATAGTGCACTACTGCCCAGAACTCCTGGACTCTGAGGTCGTTGGGCTGGAGCGATTGCACAGCGGGTAGGGCATTTGCCTTGCATGAGGCTGACACAGGGACCTGAGTTCAATTCCTCCGCCCCTCTCGGAGAGCCCGGCAAGCTACCAAGAGTATCTCGCCCGCAAGGCAAAGGCTGGCAAGCTACCCATGACGTATTCAATATGCAAAACACAGTAACAACAAGTCTCACAATGTTACTGGGCCCTCTCAAGCAAATCAATGAACAACACGGGAGCACAGTGACGGTGGGTGACAGAGGTGGTCATGCCAGTTGTGCTCGGGGGCCATAACCAGGAGATGCTCAGGAGCCATTCCTGGTAGTACTCGGGGGACAAATCCATTGCTAGTTATTCAGCCCAAGGCTCCCACAAGTTAAGCATAACCCCTAGGCCTTGGTCATAAGTTTTAAGGAAAATTCTAAACACTACCCTTTGAATACGATGTAGACTCTATTTTTCCTTGCTGGAGATTCTAATGTTTGGTTCATTAGAATCACTTTAGTGCATGTGAGGCACTTGGAATTAAGTTCATGACCTCACATTTGTTTCAGGACTTGTAAGCCACTCAGCCATCCACACCTTTTCTCACTATAGAACCCAAACATCAGACCTCTCAGGATTGCCTCAGTACTTGTGGCCTGCACTGGTTTTGAACTCAAGGTCTTGTGGATAATTACTTTAATTAGATATCCTTTATTAGTATAAAGAATTTCATCTATTAATGTTTTGTTGTAAATTACAGATTTTAGTAAATACGTTTTTTCTTTTGAAACATCTGAGATGGGAGGGCCATTTCCCCTAAATGCTTAGGAGACCCAGGCAAGTCAAATGACACATTTTTCTGATAATTTGATGCTAGAGCCTGACAAGATTTTTATTTTTGTTTTGTTT